AGACCGAAGTGCAGAGTTTCTAAGTCTTGAGTTTCACGACTATCTAAAATAATGTGGAATTGTTTTGCAATTGATGCCTTCGAGGACGCCATAATTGAATAGTGTAGCTGAGAGATGTAATTTGACATTGCTGTACATGGTTCGTTCTATGATGAGTCGGGCTTCGTTACCAATAGTTTTCTGGGGGTATGCCTTAGAGACTGCCGCCCATATCCTTAATTTAGTTCCCACCAAGAAGGTTGCCAAAACACCTCACGAGATGTGGACAGGGAAAGCTCCCTCGCTGGCACATATAAAGGTTTGGGGTTGCGAGGCTTTTGTAAGACGACAAGCTCGAACCTCATAGTAAGAAGTGTTATTTCATCGGCTATCCACAGAAGTCTTTTGGCTATCTCTTCTATAGACTGAGTGACAATTTTGTCTTCGTTGCTAGAAGAGGAGTGTTCCGAGAAAGAGAATTGATAAGCCAAGAAGACAGTCGGAGGAAAATTGATCTTGAAGAGATTCAGGAGCAAAGCGATGAAGGAACCTCTAACACTGGCATTCAACTTGAGGAGGAAACTCCTGTTGAACATTTTGACGAATCCTTACCTCTTAGACATTCTAGTAGGGTTAGTGTTCAACCCCAGTTCTCTGGTTTTCATATTACTACTGAAGGGGATGCATTTATTAGTGACGAAACACTGATAAATTTGGACGAACCTAGTAGCTACAAGGAAGCCATGGCAGGCTCGGGGTCGACCAAATGGAAGCAGGCTATGGATAGCGAGATTCAATCCATATACGACAACCAAGTTTGCAATTTGGTTGATAATGTACCAGGTCGTAAGACAGTCGGGTTCAAATGGATCTTCAAGAAGAAGACGGACATGGATGGGAAAGTGCACACTTATAAAGCACGATTGGTTGCGAAGGGATTTACTCAAACTCTTGGAGTTCACTACGATGAGACCTTCTCACCAGTTCCTAAAATATAGTCTATTAGGGTAATGCTTGCAATTGCCGCGTTTCATGATTATAAAATCTGGCAGATGTACGTGAAAACCGCTTTCCTTAATTGAAAGTTGGCTGAGGATGTGTACATGAATCAGCCAGAGGGTTTTGTCGATGCGAAGCATCCAAATAGTGTGTGCAAGCATGAGAAATCCATTCAGGGATTGAAACAAGCATCTCGTAGGTGGAATCTTTGCTTTGATGAAAAGGTCAAAGTGTTTGGTTTTCTACGAAGCGAAGATGAGTCATGTGTATATGTCAAAGCCAGTGGGAGTATAGTCAACTTTCTCGTATTGTATGTAGATGACATACTGCTCATAGGAAACGACATCCCAACCTTGCAGGATGTTAATTCCTGGCTTGGGAAGTGTTTTGCTATGAAGGAGCTCGGAGAGGCTACTTATATTCAGTGGATAAAAATAGTAAGAAATAGGTAAAAGAGACTGATAGGACTCAGTCAGGATACATATTTGGATAAGGTACTAAAACGTTTTAGTATGGAAAATTCAAAGAAGGGGGAGTTGCCAATCCAAAGCAATACCAAGCTGAGTAAGACTCAGAGCCCGAGTACAGAGGCAGAGCTAGCTGATATGAGCCGAGTACCTTACGCTTCCACAGTCGGCTCGATCATGTACGCTGTGACTTGTACCCGCCCTGATGTAGCCATATCTTTGAGCATGGTCAGTAGATATCAAGGGAATCCTAGTAGAGCTCATTGGATTGCAGTTAAGAATACTTTTAAGTACCTACGAAGGACAAAGGAATGGTTTCTAGTCCTTGGTGGGAGTAATGACTTAAGGGTACGAGGGTATAGTGACGCTAGTTTTCAGACGGATCGGGATAATTATCGATCACAGTCGGGTTGGGTCTTTACCCTTAACGGAGGAGCAGTGACTTGGAAAAGTTCCCAGCAGGAGACTGTAGCTGACTCAACGTGTGAGTCAGAGTACATTGCAGCAAGTGAAGCATCAAAAGAGGCTATATGGTTGAAGAGCTTCATTGGAGACCTTGGAGTTGTGCCATCCATAAAGGAGCCCATGGATATTTTCTGTGATAATGAAGGAGCGGTTTCCTTAACAAAAGAACCAAGGAATCATGGTAGATCCAGACATATCGACAGAAAGTACCATTTTATCAGACATCGGGTAGAAGAGGGACTCCTCGTTGTGAAGAGGGAATCATCAGAAGAAAACCCAACAGATCCCCTTACGAAGGGACTGAGCAGGGTTAAGCACTTGTAGCACGCTAGGAGCATTGGGCTGAAGGATGATATAAGTTTGGATTAGATAGGAAACGTGTAATAGATATTTTGTACTTAACATTTGATGAATAAATAAAGTTGTGTTATTTATGAGTAAAGGTACTATCTTGTGTTGGTTATTTATCTATTGTTTCTGTTTTGCATGTTTTGACTTCCAGAATAATAAGATTATTCAAACAATCCACAGTCGTTCATATTTAGGAAGTAGATATGAATGAAGACTGTCACGAATTTGTTTGTAGCTTGTCTAAAAGGTTTTGGGCATAGCAAAAGTTTGCTACAAAGTTCGTGAGTGCTTATGAATTGTGATTTGAGCATTGGAGTAAACCCGTGTTTGCTAGTATCACTTCGTGGTGTTTAACCTTAAGTGACGGCAAAGCGATAAGATCATATAGTCTTAAAACTTAGAGATATGGTTGTTGTTTGCTAGTTCGTTGTGCATTGATGATGTGTAAATGAATTAATAACTTGATGTTATAAAACACATTGTTGTGCATGAGTTAATTGGTAATAATAGATGCATATGAGTCAAAGTTGATCTATTCGTTTTATTCTATGAGAATAAAGGTGATATCATGGCCACTCGATGATTTGGTTTGAATTATGTGTCGGGCCCGGTCCGAATGAAGTTGATGTGTTCAACTAAGTTCTATGTCGGACAAATCAGAGATCGAGGAACAAATGTTGGACAATAAGTATTATTAGCATGATATCTAGAATAGAAGATTATACGATCCCTTATCTGAAGGACGAGTTACTGATCAGAGTTGACAGCAACGTGTAAGAGCTACAATTGCTAATCGAATCCTAAGTCATATGTGAGATATAGTTACTAGACTTATCCAAGTGGGAGACTGTTGGATTAGTGTCTATGCCCGTAGCTATATTTGATATGTGCTTGACCCGGTTGTGCGTGGTCCTTTTGGATTGCCTTTACCAAAGCAACTTGACAAAGTAATTTAAGGAGAGAGAGAGAGAGAGAGAGAGAGAGAGAGAGAGAGAATATTATGGTTTATTAATATATTATAAGAATAATATATTAAAGGAGAAATCATATTTATTTAATTAGTATTAGTCATAAATTGATTAGGAATTAATTTGGTGACTAAAAGTGATTAATTAAATAAAGGGGCATCAACCGTCAAGTCTGTGATAGTTGAGTTTTGGGCTAGGATACATAATGGACTAAGGGGGAATGAAATTATGATGAAGGATCATTATATTTTCGTCCAAGGCCTTAATTCTAGAAGGTTCCTAGGGCTGCTTGGTGGCTAAGCTGTCTATTAGGGTTTAGACTGAAACCCTAGCAGCCTACAATATAAATATGACCTCTAGGCTATGGAAATTGGCTACACTTCATTCCAAGGGAACCCTAAGGCCGATTTTAGCTTCTCTCACCCTCTCTCATATTGCCTTCTTGCTTGTGGGGTTTGTGAACCATTAGAGGATTTACAATTGTGACTCTAAGCTGAAGATTAAGAAGACTACAAGGATTTCAAGCCATTTGAAAGAGGTAAAACACTTAGATCTGTTCTTATGATGTTAATTTCGAATCATGTATGATAGATCTAGGGTTGTAAGTCTTGGATTGAAAGCATGTACAATAGATAAACCTTAATCCAAGCATTAGGGTTTGTATGAGCACATAGTATTGTTCTTATGCATGAAACCCATCAATATCAACTAGCATAAATTTTTACTAAACCTCTTCGGACTGAAAGATTTCGTTCTTTGTTGGGTAAAATGGGTGTTCATGATCTTCACATTCAATATTGAGGGGGAGTGAAAAAATTAATCCAGATTATCTTATCTTCTTTTATGTTTATCTTATCTTTTACTCCTAGTTTCCTGGTAGGATTATAATCTTTATATATATATATATATATATATATATATATATATATATGTATATATATATATATATATATATATATATATATATATATATATATATATATATATTTATTTATGTGTGTGTGTGTACACACATATTTGGATCTTTTGGTGTATATATACTCTTTATCATTTGAATGAGAAGATTGAACGTGGAATCAATTGTTCCAGATGAATCATATTTGGTTTTCTATATTTAATGTATAGTCTCTTTGAGGGGTCCGGACACGGAAACGGCCTTTTGTATATCCCGGGACATGTATTATTTACATTCTTAAAAAGCGCAAAACTATGTATGTGTATATGACTTATGTCCATTTTGATTGAAACATATGTTCATTTTAGTTTTTTGAATGAAAATTTTTATCAAGAAAATGTTCTTCGCATGAATACATGTATATGTGCTTCAACAGGGAAAATAGGTGCTATTTTACGAAAACTTTTGGAAATTAATTATAAAATATTGTCTAGGATCTAAAATTGTTGTATAACAAATGATTTAGCAATGGACAGGTTGTGTTAAAAGAACATGATAAAAAAATTATAAGATCTGAACATATTTTTTTCTGGTACAAGTTAGTATAAGAAACTTGTTTGAAATTTTAATACTTACAGATGGGGATAACCTTAACTTTACAACTTATATATCTGGGGATAACCTTTTATCTGGGGATAACCTTTTATCGTTGCTAAAGAATTCAACTCGTCTTGTAAACACTTTTTAAACAGAATATTGTTGTTTAAGAAGCTATAGTATTCCTTATAAATCAACCAAATTGCAAAGAATATATGTGTAATTACAATCCAATATCAACCACACGAAAAACATAAATACACATTTAAGATTTTTATTTTACTTTCTAGAACGGCGTCTAAGATATTTATTTCTTAGTTTTTTACACCAGGCCAAAAACCTCTTCCACCATTTTGCTTTTCGCACGTAACCTCCATCTTCACCAGCACCGCCACCAATACCAGCCCCAACACCGCCACCAGTACCAGCCCCAGCACTGCCGTTACCCATACCCTCCTCCATTCTTTGGACTACCGTTTCACCACCACTATAGAGAGGATTAAAAGGAGCGTTATGAAATAAAGGATCACCTCTACTACGTACAAGCAATGGTACTTCTTCAAGGTCTTGATAAAAATCTTGGTCAACGGGAAAGATATTGCTTTCTGGGAAGTCGCCGATCATTTGAAAACCCTCGTTGGCATGCAATCCGACAACTATTTCACCACTGCCGCCAAACTTTACGTTATTCTAATTTCTCACTTCTTAGTCTCGTTGCTCCGACTTTGACTTGGAAGATTTTTTATTAATCTTCTCACTCTTTGCAACCATTATATATATTTCTGGAGAGAGAACACTCCGCGTAGTACCGACGACTTTTTGACTCACATACTTCTTGCAAGGAAAATTATTAGCACTTTCCGCACGAATTATTCAACCTTCGACAAATTAAAACTTTTTACAATATATAAAATTCGTTTAGACATTTTTTTGGTGACTTGCTAAATCAAGGTTCTAGAGATCGTACTTAAGTATGATTCCTATTTACAACTATGAACTATATTATTTGGTATATATATTATTTGTAATTTGTATTAAAAATTAAAAGGATAACAAATATCAGGCTTATATTCGATCAATTTTTGGATGGAGCATGGCCCACATTTATTAAGCTTCTGGTTGCAGTATTTCAAAAAATATTTCGTGCTTTTGGGGTAATAGCAATGAATAATTTGTATACCCTAAGTTGATTTGTTTTATGTTTGCATTTTTAGCTTTAGTTTCCTTTTTTAACAGAAATACTACCGGTGGGATTCGGTAAATGAAGGCATGATCGAAAGTGGATTTAGAAGTGTGGTGCAAGATCGTTATTCAACGTAATGAATGAATATCAACATAAATCTGCAAATAGAGCTTGAGCGGCCGGTCACAAGATCCCGGAGACAAATAATGACTTTGCAATCATGGGAGCCAATTACTTTCAATGAGGACGTATGGAAGGATTTGCATAAAGTAAGCTAATTACTCCCTCCGTCCCAAAATTATTGTCCACGTTTGACTTTTTAAATCTTTTTTGTTCAACTATGACCTTACATAATTTACTTTTTGTTATATAATTTTTTGTGCTAGATATATGAATAGATTGGTTTTTAAATGTATTTTCATTGTTATAGGTTTCATCAAAAATTTTATAACACAAATAAAGTTATTTATGACCAAAGTTAACATGGAAAGACTTCAAAAGTCAAACATGGACAATAATTTTGGGACGGATGGAGTAATATATTATTGTTTTATTATTATTATTATTATTATTATTATTATTATTATTATTATTATATATATATATATATATATATATATATATATATAAACGGGGTCCAGGGGTTACGATCATTATGGACTGAAATTGGTAATTATGCAAATCAATATTCGTATAATTTAGTAATTGGTTTTACTTAATCACATACTACACTAATTATACCATGTGTTTTATGTAGCAAAAGGAATTGAAGTGTATCCCTACATTTCTGGAATATTTTCTTATTACCCACCTTACTGCAGTGGCCAAGAAAAAAAAATCAAGGCTAAAGATTATGGTACAATTCAAGAGTTGGAGTTTTGTACACCTACTGCTAGAGCAATATGTGTAATTTATGTTTTCCTTTTTAGATAACTAGTGCCTTAACTTCAATGAGTACAATAATAACAGTTATTTTGTTTTGATAAATTGTAGGAGAGATATACTAGTGTCATGGTTGAAAAATACGGGGAGGACCTAACTCAACATCTAGAGGGTCATGTTGACTTGTGGGTGCAGGCACAAAAGGGAGAGGTAAATGCAGACGTATTTATGGGGTAGGATGTTCAGATCTACATTTTGTTTTCACGGGGACATCATCCAACGGGAACAAACTGACCTCTTCTGACTACCAGCAATCACAACAACGAGTAGTTTTCTTTGGTAATAAAAAAAGTTAGTTGCTATTATTGATAAAATAAAGTTATTGCTATTATTTAAAAGACATAGAAGTCTACAGTATTTAGTAATAAATAACAATTAAAGTATGTTGGTATTATGGAAAATAGGTAAAATGCTATAATGGAAAGAAAAAAATGTATGTTCCTATATTATATATAAAAAATGATAATACGTTGCTGTAACATCCCCAAAATATGGTCCAAAACTTCCGCTTTAAAATCATTTACGAAAATCTTAATTCATCTGACATGACAATAAATATCGTAAGTCATGTATCTCAAATCATCATAACAAAATACTTTATCAAATCATGTGTCAAAATATTAGAGTAAACCATCCTAGGCTAAAAGTTGTGGTGTGTGCCATGCAGTCATCCCGATCTCTTCCCCTAGCTAGTAGAGGTACCTGAAACGAAAACTGAAAACTGTAAGCATGAAGGTTAGTGAGTCTCCCCAAACTACCACATACTATACACATAATCACATACTGCAAACATTGGGCCTAGCCCGCTACATCAGGCCCCGCCTGGCATCAGACGAAACCGGCATCAGGCCCCGCTTGGCATCGATCCCCGCTCGGTATACATATATGTTTCTACTAGGCCTCGCCTGTCTTCGGGCCCGCCCGCTATACGCATACAAACATATAATACTGCTAGTACATAACAATCAAACATAGCACTATAACTGCTAGTCTTAAGGCCCCGCCTATCTTTAGCCCTGCCCTTACTCTACTAATAATGACATATGGAACCCCTTCCACACTCATCTAGTGATGAGATACAGGTCCCCGCCAACACTCACCTCCCTACCAGGCAGATAAAAGTATCACAGAGACAAAAAGTATAACTAAACATGCATTACTTCCTCAGGCCCTGCCTGGCATCAGACTGAAGTCTGGAAAACTTAACTTTCCTCGGGCTTGCCCCAGCGTCGCACCGAAGTCCAAAACACACAACACATAGCATGTAAACTAAACATTCCTTAGGCTTGCCCCGGCAACGGACCAAATTCCGGAACATGCAATCTACATCATGCTAACCCCATCATCGGAACTAGGTCTGGCATACACTAACATACATAAACGGGCCGACATTAGTGCCTTCGACCCGCTCCTATAGGAGAAGACTCGCCTCACAAACTCAATGTAGAATCCGGCGTATAACCCCACGCTGCTAGGTGGAAGATCCTGAACTGCTGATCACTTGACTCCCCGAGCTATTAATTTCACAATAATACTTAGTCAGAAACCAATAATTCTCCTTAGGGTAAACTATAAATTTTTAGATCTTGTATAAGAAAGGTAAGACTTTTATATTGATTTTAATAGTCTAAGCATGTTAAAAATATAAATTTAAAAATAAAGTGAAAATTAGCCCACAGAGTCTAAATGAAAGTTTTAGATCTTGTCGTTAGCTAAGTGTGAATATAAAGAACGTCAAAAATAGAGCTCGATGACGAAGTTACGAAATTTAAAAAAATTAAAAAAAAATTGCATGTAGACGGTGCGCAAACTTCTAGAAGGAAAAATGTGGACCGCCAAGAAAGCGACACCTAGCACCCCAGGCACTTCCTATTTTCACAGAGAGCACCTTACATTTTCATGGTGCGCACTCACAAAAATGGTCAATAAATAGCAGTCCATACGTCACTCATTCCTCACACCATCACTCTCGAGTTTCTCTCTACACAAGACCTTCTTCCTTCAAGATTCCATATTTTTTTGTGTTTTGAAGTATTCGCATTAAGGCTCTGAGGTTGCAGAGAGTCGGGCAGATAGAAATGCTCGATATCGAGGTCTTGCCCACGACTTTCGACTTTTTACCTCGAAAGGTCTATAAGTTACGCTATGCTTAATAGGCTTGTATGATAATTTATAATTGTGATTAGAACTTTTATTAGGAACCTGTAAGCTAAATTATTTATTAATTGTAGCTAAATAATACTGATTCCTCTACTTATAGGAGAGGAGTCGAGAATGGTCATGTTGGCTTGGTTGTTAGATTTCAGAAAAGTTATATATTGAAATGATATTACGTCACATCCATACTACCTGGGTGATCCTTATTTGATAGAATGCTCAATATTCATTAGGATTAATGAATTATCTACCCTTCGCTACTAGATTATAATAATGATTATTAAGTAATTATAGGTTAATGCTTGTTAGACTCGTCATCCGCCAATTAGATCACCGGTATGATCACCTAGATAGTTGTCGATTGTACTATACAATTTGCTATAGTATATGTCGATGTATGTTACGATAGAGACCTAGTTAGAGATGATATAATTATTATAAGCACATAGACCCATGTTAACGAAATGGAATGCATGCCTTAAATAACAAAATGACGTGTAGGTCGTAAATTCACATATTATTAGCGGTTCGTGATTCATTAGTTGTATACATGTATATAAATATGATATTTTGGGGAACTCCCTAAGTTTCATGCTTACACAGTTAAATTTAAATATTTTTAGGAACTTCAACTGATTCGTGAGAATCACAAGGTTCAACTATAAACACATGCATTCGCAACATGTTTCTACATAAATTAATAACACTATGATACATTTGAATTAATAAAAAATGAAAATTTTGGTTTGAAAATGGGGACATTACAAGTTGATATCATAGCCCTGGTTTGAGAGAATTGGATGAACATTTGTTTGATTCCAGACTCAAACCAAGGATCTGAATATCTTAACAAGACTTTTTAGTAAAAAAAATTTATTCAAAAGAAAAGAATACGATGTGTACAGTCAGCCAAAGCTCGGAAAGGAAAGTGATTCCAAAAATATCCATATTTTTATGATTGCTGATATGTGAAGTGTTAGAAAGGCATGCTAGTATGTAGGCTAGAGATCTTTTTAGAAGTTGCAAGATAGAATTGTATGATACTTAAGATGTCTTATAGCCTAGGGAGTTGCTTTTTATTTTCTACATTGAAGCTATATTAATATTAACTAGTTATTTGAAAAACATATTAGGTTTCATGATCCCAAAATTAAATAGTTATAGGTTGCTTGATCTAGCGCTATTTTGCAGCTCTCGTTTAAGTTTAACCGTCGTAGTATCAGATTGTGTATACGACGGATTGTTTGGTTTTAGAGGCATGGAATCTTATTCGTCCAGTAATTAGTTAATATTGGTAGAAGTTCTTCCTTAGCTAATAGTAGAGAAAAGTGGAAAGGAATCTTGACAAAATAGTCTATGAATTTGAATACATACTTAATAGGGCATATATTTGTAAGTTTAGGCATTGGTAAAGATGCGAAGTCCTAGTGGAGTTTAGGAAAAGCCTATTGTATGCGCTCATGGGACACACACACACAAACACACACACACACACACACACACACATATATATATATATATATATATATATATATATATATCTGTGTGTGTGTTTAGTGGTTATCATGTGTAGTGTCGGAAGTGATTTGGAAATTGTGAAACAGTTTTTGGGACAAGTATGAGTAGGTGTGAAAGGTAGTAGAGGTCGAGACTACCTGAAGCACAAGACTCGCACTTGGATCAGTAAGAGTCACAAAGTTGCTAAGGCACTAGTAGTTACGTAGATAGTGTGGCTAACACTATAAATTCATTTTGGGTTATTTCCGTCATTACCTGTTGGACGGTGAAGTCTAGGTGAGTGACTCTAAGATTGGGCCAAAGTGGTCATAAAAGATCAAGTACGAGTAAAACCAAAAAAATTACATAAGTGAGTTGGTTCTTACAACCTCGTATGATATTGTATCGACTTTAGTAGAGAGAATTAAGAAGGATAAATTGGAATGCGACGAGGTAGTCGTCCCAGACAGACAAGAAGAATGGAGTAAATTCAAAAACCATCGTTGTTGTTAATTGTTCGACTATGTTAGTAATACCCAACTTATATCACATAGATATGTGTGTGTGAGAACGTTTCTCGACAACATTGTGCTTGTCACGACCTTAACCTGATTTGGTCGTGTCATGAAAAAAGACCCCTTACGGTAAACACAATTACTAGTATTTCAAATAGAATGTTGAAGGTCATTAGATATGACAAACATGAGTTTATTCAAAGTCAAAGGTGTTAGGTTTTGAGCCTTCTAACACTCCTAAGTGTACATGCAACCCTAAATACCTTGGATCTTTATTTTCTCTATAATACATATAAATATGAACATCTAAGGTATTATTCCTAATCTAGCATGCAAAACACTAAATAAACCAAGATAGAATACATACCTCTTTGATGTAAGTGACTTCATGAAGCTTGAGTGCCTAGTGCCTCAAGTGTGACACCTCAAATGGTTCACACAACACCAAATACACTTGGAATAACTTGAGAGAAACTTGAACACTAATATGACTTATGACTCATTTTTTTGATTTAACCATTTCAACAATTATTGATTCCTCTTCTTAGTCATGAAAATGCACTAATATGACTTTATAGGGTCAATTGTGATATGGTATATTAATCATTAAGATGATCATAAACATGATACTAAAGTACTCTCCCATCATCTCAGAATTACACTTAAACTTATAAGTATAACAATATTTACTGAACTTAAGTAAATCATGACGAATAGTCTTCTTGATCTTTTGTAGTGGACTTGACCAGTGCACAAGAATGTGTACTCGATCCCTTAGTCCTTTCCTTATTCACATAAGGAATTAGTCTTAATTTTCCAAGCTAAAAGTTCTCATTCATCATACTATACAACTTGCATGATTCTAAGTTTCGGTCCAATTGAACGTTGGGTGATGAGAATCTTTCTTTATTTGGTAATATTAGACACTACCACAAACGAAAGAATCAAATCCATTTTTCCAATATTGCTATCAATGGAATCTTATAAGCATCAACTTTTCACAAATGCCATTGTATGGATACTTAAAATAAATAAAATCAAAACCTTTTTCTTTTATTTTTAAAACTTTGCGGAAAAACTTATCCTTACAATCCATATGAAAACCTTGTTGTTATCTATTCCTAAGCAATATAAATATCATAACTCTTAAGTAATAGCCCAAAATTCTTATCACCGAACCCTGCGATTGAAATCCATCTTCGCGATCAGAATCAGCATGTACTTAATAGAGTTAGACAATCGACTTTACCTGAAGTAGAGCCAAACTTATTGACTTTAACATCCTTAGGTAAATT